TGGGCGAACAAAAATCCCCGTGAGTATCAAGAGCAGCCGATGCATCCTCAAAAAGTGACTGTGTGGTGTGCATTGTGGTCAAAAGGCATCATCGGACCTTACTTTTTCGAAAATGCGGCCGGGGACGCCGTTACCGTCAATTCTGAGCGATATCACGTGATGATAGAGGACTATTTTTTGCCGCAACTTGAAGGAATGGATATGGACGATGTTTATTTCCAACAAGACGGTGCAACATGCCACACAACCAACGTCAATATCCATAGATTGCAGTCCTTCTTCGGTGATCGCGTGATTTCGCGCAGAGGAAATGTGCCATAGCCACCAAGATCGTGCGATTTGACTCCCTTGGACTTCTTTTTATGGGGATATTTGAAAAGCAAAGTCTACGTCGACAAACCAGCCACCCTCCAAGAACTCAAAAACAACATCATTGCCGAGATAAATGCCATAGAACCGACCATGTTGCAAAATGTCATTGAAGATTTCGACCATCGCTGGACGTCTGTAAATCCAGTCATGGTGAACATTTGAGCGATATTATTTTTCATACATAAATGGTATAAATGAACCTTCAAAATAAAGTACCCAACTTGATTTGAATATCAATCTTTCTTGTTTAAATATGCGTTTACTTTCCTGCGTCCGTTTTGGACAACACCATATAAAGCTATGCAGTTGTAAGGATCGGTCTTAGATCCCTTTTTTGGGATGGGTTGGATATGAGCAAATTTTGCAGTTTTTTGGGACAGAACCGAATTCGTAAGATATCCGGAAGAGAAACGAAAGAATTGGAGCAAGCTCAGTTATCTATTCAATACAACGGCAGGAATCAAGTCCGGACCAGAAGCTTTGTTGATGTCGAGCGACAAGAGCACTCGCTTACGGTCTTATACCTGGGGCTTGATTCTAAATGAGTTTCGACCGTTGAAATTTATTGCGATGGCGCCTTGTGATGATATGCTTGATTCGCTATGATAATTTTGACAGCTGATTATATTGATCTCCTATATTCAAAATTATCATGGCAGTGTCAAAATTATCATAGCTAATCAACTATATCATCACAAGGCGCCATCGAAATCAATTTCAATTGTCGAAACCCATTTAGAATCAAGCCCCTGGATGTTACTTCCCTCATAGTGTAGGGAATCACGATTCAAAAATCGGGCGTTGAGGGGACGTCCATGGTGCGTTGACAGCAAAGATCTTAGCAAGCATTTCCGCGTTGGTATTTGTTATTGTACGTCGTTTCGACACAACCTTTTGAACTATATATAGTTTTAAACTGGTTTTTGTGGTAGATCTTTGACGTAGCCAGTGGAGAAAAAATCAAGAATGTCACAATATTTATCTAAAACTTATTTATTTCATTGAAGTCTATTTTACATTTTACATGTGCTACAATAGGTGTCAGTTAATATATAAAAGGAATTCAAATTAGACAATAAATAAATTCAGTCCACAGTATTCATTCCAGGTTAAAGCCAAAACAACAGACAGTTTTTTTAAGTGCAGCTGATAAAAATACTCTAAAGGGACAACATTCACGTTAGTATACTTATGGAATAGATAACAATTTCCTATTATTGTTTAGTATTGTTAAATGATCAAGAATATTGTTTCAAGAGGGTAATAGTCATATGCAATAAATACTACTATTACCATTTGAGTTCTACGGTCTTGATACACGAAACACTCATCAAGAAAGTGGTATGTTTCATCTTTTCGTTCGTTTCATCTAGAAAAATCTGTTAAAAATGTAGAACAGGGTTATAAAGTTTAAAAAGAGTGACTGTAAACATGACCTTGACTATCGCTTTGAAGGTTATTTGAGTATCGAGGCAGTTGAAAACCCACATGTTTGACATCAGGGATGTAAAGATCGAACAATTTTATGTTCAAATTTATCATTGTCAATGACCTTCAAGGTCATTTGAAGGCAAAATAAAATTTCAGGTACATTACTAAAGCTAAACATTTTTCGAGGTTATTTAAGAGTCAAATGATTTTTAACGAGATACTTTAAATCTTTTTTCCGAAAATCTTTAACCATCGTAAAAGCCCAAAAATCGTAATTAAGGTCTTCCTATTATCTGCTTTTTCCATTTACAGTGTCAAAAATAGCGCTTTCCTTTAAGAAAACTGTTGTGACCTTCAAATGATTGTGAATGTTACAATGAGGTGAACTTTTCAAATTTTACAATTATGTTCTGCAACATTTTTCTCTATGAAACATATTTTTTTGAACACCCTCAAATGACCTTGAGTGTCATAGTCAAGGACAAAACTGAATATAACATTTTCCATACTTCACATGACACTGGTGTCAAAAAAGGAATTTCCATTTAAGAAAACTTTCGGAATCTTCAAATGAGCTTAAAGGTCGACGTCTATGTCAAGGTCACGGTCAATATCACATCAAGGTTATGGTTATGGTCACTATTAGATGACTTTTTTAAACTTTACAACTTAGTTGCACAACATTCTTCTCTAGGAAACATATTTTCGAGATATTTTATCTTTACCATACTTTTTGCTCACCCTCAAGGTCATGGACAAGGGCATAACTGAACATAATTTTTTCCGCTATTCACATTTCCGGTTCCAAAATTAGGGGTTTCCATTTAAGAAAACTTATCGATCTTCAAATGACCTTGAAGGTCATCTTTGAGGTCACTTTTCAAACTTCACAACAACTTTGTTTTACAATATTCTTCTGTAGAAAACACATTATTCGAGATACTTTGATGTTGCAAACGATGTATAAATCTTTTCCTATTCGCATGAGGTACAGATATGGCTGTTAATTTGCAACGACCCATGAGAAACCCAATCAAATGATTGAACAACTACCGCGTTCAAGTTCTCACTAAACCACGACTACGAGCTCTCAAAACAATTTCAATAGGTTTATATCTACACACATTTCTATTTTCCTATTGATTAACTACTGTCCCATTGTTTTGGCATATTTGTACAATACGTAAATGTGCTGCAAATAAACATTTAGACATGTTTAACTTCTATTAGCAGGATGTTAGTTAGAATTACTCCGTACAAAATATACGTGAAAAATCAGTGGAAAAAGTTTATACACAAAGAAGTATAATTCTCAAAACGTGGGTTTGTCCAATAATGGAAATGTCCATAAGGGGATGTCCGTGTATATTTTAGAATCTATAGTCTCAAATTGTCATAATGAAAGATGGAAAGTTATTTATTTTGATAATTCCAAAAACCAGAATATTTCCCAAACTGTGAACAGATTAGAAGTGAAACGATATGCTCTTGTGAAAGAGCCTGTTCTTGACTTCACTTTCATCAGTTGAAACTGTAACTATCCTTTTTACATTATGAGACTTTCAGACATACGAAAATTTCATAAAATATACGAATGAAATCACAAAGTCGAAAAGACGTAGGCTCACAATTTTAACACAAATGATATGTCATAATATGACAGTCAGGCTTATAAAATCTACTTATCTTAACTACGTTATCTTTTGACTTTGGTTTCCATTTGTATGAGTATACAAAATACACCAAAAAATTGCACAAAAACGTCCTAATTTCCTGAATTTCGTTTTAGGTTTTTCACACCAAACTTTAACATATATATCAATAAAAACAGTGCTGTACATTTACTAATCAGCGATATAGCATTGAGAAAAGTCATCCAAGACACATCAAAAGGATTTTAAATTCGCCAGTGCGAGTTTATTTCTACATTACAAAAATATACTTTTCAAGTATACAGTAACTTAGTACTGGCCATAACAAATGCTGCACAGTTTAGAAGCTTGAAATTATTAGATGTGTCTACTTTCTTGCATTTTTACCGGTTTTTCGTGTGTTAAAGTTCAGTGGTTCACATTTCTTCAACGTTAATGTATATAGGATGTAAACAATTCAAATGTGAAAAAAGCCGTTCAAAAATGGGGGCACCTTAGCGTTTTCCCGAAACGCGATTTCTCAAAACGGCACGCATCATGATACGAATCATTTGAAGTATCTTTTGTTTTAATTCAAATATTCGCCCACCAAACAAAAATCAATATTTTTAAAATCTCCTATTTTTTTTGCTATTTAACTATATGCTCAATAACTTCCTCTTTATCATTTCATTACCTTTTCTTCCATAAAAAAACATGACAAAAAGCACTAAAATTTTTTAAATAAATATCATATTGAGTTCCATAAGTACGAAGAAAAACTCGAAATTTCTATATCCGTTTTTGCAATTATAATTTTTTTGGTTTTGTGTATTTATGGAAAGTCCACGCTCACTTTCGGTTTGTTTATATCCTTTATTAGTAATGCACAAAATAAATAGATTGCAGGTTGTTTTGGAAAATGTCTGAAGAATCTGATTCAGAATCAGGAAAGTTATGTCATCAAACTTTTAAACTAATAGCAACTCGCCCAGACTTTAAATTCGAAACTTATCGAAATGAAAATGAGAACCTTACTTCTTCAACCTTATAAGTGCCGTGAATCACATTTTTGCTAATAACGTATTCATTTACATTTTACATCAGACTGAAAAGTGAGACAAAGGTATTTTAAGTTTATGCATAAGATTGATCAACGTTTGATTGAATTTCAAAACAAAAGATATGTATCCTGTTTCAAGATATGCTCAAAGCAAAAACATACAGTCTTGCATGCAATGTTTCGATTCTGTTTTTTCGAAAGATGTTTCCGCACCCATAGAAAATAATAAAAACCAAATATGGACCTCAAGAATTGTATCTGGATATTAAAAAAGACGTGATAATTACTAGAACCTGAAACTTTTACTAGTCAGTTTAAGCTTGATCTCAAGAATCTTTCCACAGATAACAATGGAAAAAATCTTTTTTTCCAAATTGTCTTGTAAGGCGAAAAAAATCTGAAATTGGAGATAAAATGGTGTCAAAATCAAATGAGCCTCAGATCTTCACAAGATCATGCTAAGTTTTTTTTTTCAATCCTGAATGTTTTTCTTTTTTTTTCAGATGCTACCACGACCATAGAAAATTAGAAAAACCAAACATGGATCTCAAGAATTGTAAATTAAAGTATCTGAATATTAAGAAACACATAATAATTACTACCACCTGTGGCTGTAAGCTAATCAGTTTAAGCTTGATCTCAAATACCTTTCCTATTCATTACTAGCTATCATAAAGTTTGCATATCGGTTATGTTCCATAGATAACAATGGAAAAAACCGGTTTTTTTCAAATTGACTTGTAAGGCGAAAAAATCTGGAATTGGAGATAAAAAGTTCAATCAAATAAGCCTCGGATCTTCGTAAGATCATGTTTTTTTTCGATTCTGGTTGTTTTTCTTTTTTTTTGTTTCAAATGTTACCACGCCCATAGAAAATTAGAAAACCCAAATATGGATCTCAAGAATTATAAATTAGATTAACGGAATATGATATGAATATGATAATTACTGCCCCTGTCGCTTTTGCTAATCCGTTTAAACTTTATCTCAAAGACCTTTCCTTTTCACTACTAGCTATCATAAAGTTTGCATATCAGCTGTTCCACAGATAAAAAAGGAAAAAATCGGTTCTTAGAAATTGGATTTTAAGACGAATAAATACTGAAATTGGAGATAAAATGTTCTCAAAACCAAATCAGCTAAGATCTTTACAAGATCATGTAAATGAGTTAAAAATTGCAGAACGTCTGCTAATACTGTCTTTTTTAATGATTTCATTGAAAAAAGTGGCTTTTACAAAAATATTAGGCATTTAGTTCAAGAAGTGTTGGGCCTTGCAATGTTCGCTAATTGCATCCTAATTATATTGATACAATTTTTTGTTATTCTTTATATGTTGCAGCTGTTTAAAAAAGTATTCGTTTTAAAATTAATCTATGTATTTTTACTGTTTTGAATAGCAAACCTATAACTTAAGCAAATTTCAAAGAATTAGTATCATGTGAAAATAACGTGATGCAAACTTTTTGACATATGTCAAATTACTGCTTTTGAGGCTGAGATCATCTTGTAATACATCTTCGACCATATTTTTAATGTACTATGGCTATAATAAAACATCTTCTCAAAAAATTAAGTAGAATAGGATGATACTAAATATATCCTGGGACGAAAAATATTTTCCAAAACACTGAGATCTACACAAAATTCGATCATAGAATAAAAATATTGTATATAAATGTAAAAATAAAATTAAGTATAGTATATAGTTATATATAAAAAGTAAATGTAAAAATCGCTCGTATATAATATAAAAATATCACATTAAATCATAATTATTATAAAACATATGAAATAGTAGAATCAAACAAAATGTACAAGCTGCATTACAACTGTCATACGTGATGTGGTAATTCGGGAAGGTTTAGACAAAAATCTAAGCTAAGAGTATATTTTAAAAAATCAAAATTTGTCAAAAATTGTCTGAAAATTTAGATTTACACACTAACAGGGGTTATCTTATATTATCTTTAATATTTTCCTAATGATTTGCAATACAAACTTATGAGATTTGCATTACTTTAGACGCTTAGTGTAGTGAATTTAGAATGGATTCTAAAAAAAATTGAACAAGTTAAATTCATTTTTTCAAAAGAATTTGCACAGTATCGCAGTGTCATTTTTTATAAAAATCATCATTTCTCGAATCTCATAGCATTTTAGAGGTATACAAAATTTCATAGAATCTGGTTTGGTTTCGCGCAAAATGAGTAAATTTAACATACTTGCATTTAAAATGAACTCAAATATGTTGCACCTTTCTAAAATCCACCCTAATTCTGAAAACGCCTGGACATTCAAAATTTAATCACATTAAAATTGCAAACCCAGCAAAGATTACACACGTAAGTAATATGTTTTACATTAGTGACATGTATATATCCATCATCCGGTGATCAAAATAAATAGAACTTCTGACGATTTTTCTTCCACATATACATTAGGCACATATTTTACACACATTTGCACACTAGTTTTCTACAATGTAATAATTCACTATTGTATGGCTACGTGAAACCTGAGACTAACCGCTTATGGATCTCAAAAAAAAAAAGGAAGTTTAAACGACACTTTCAATATCCATATTTTCCTATGCAAAATGTTTTATTGCATACAAAATATTGAAAATCTAAATCGTTTGTCAAAATACTTCAATTACAGTGACTATACTTCGGCTAACAGAATTCTCAAAAACGTAGAAAGAAAACGGAAATCAAAATAACTTTATGTTTAGTAACAGTAACACTGGGCGTTATTACGTAGTACGTTCCATAGTTTCAATGTACGGAATATTTTCTTATTGCACATAAGAAGATATTAAAAATGTACATCCTACATTCAACTCATTTGTCAGAATACGTCAATTACGCGGCTGTGACACTTCAGGTACCGTTCCGATCGAATTATCTGAAAATTACTGACAATCGGATAAAAGTACTTCTCCATTGCGTTTTTGAGTTCTTTGAAGTGATTCAGTTGAAGCGACAGCGTTCCAAGGGGCCTACACTTGATACAAAAAGTGAAGAAGTTTTTTTTGGCAAATAAAAAGTATTACATATGCACTTACTTTTGGTAAGAATAGTGTCTAAAAGAATACTTTCAATGTACGAAATATTTTCTTATGCAAAATGTTTCATTGCACAACAAAATAATCCATAAATAACATCATAAGTTAGATCATTTATTAGAAAACGTCAGCGACGCAGAAAAATAATGCTAGCTTTGCTATTTTTTTCATCCTGAAGAAGCTGAGAAATAATCCATATTCATTACATTTCCTAAGCATAAAGGCTAAATCTATTTATCAAAGTAACAAAGCAGTACTTTTTAAACTATGCTGCTTTTATTCACTGCATGATACAAGTACTCCCCTTTACTCTTCGTAACATATGATGATGTTTCCTTATTTAGTTTTTTATGTAATAGTTCAATTATTTGTGAATAAGTATATATCATGAAAATATACTTCGTTAAAGTTACTTAATTGAATATGTTAAAAAAATCACTTTTGTGCTATTTATGTGAATTTCAATATGAATAAATTACATTAAATTAAAATAAAATTCTGCATTTACGGCGTTTTTCCTTTGAAATAATATGAAAACTACGAAAAAAATTATATAAATAAATAAATAAATTATCCTCTGAAATCGCTTTTAAACGACTCTCTAAGAAGTCATGTAACTTTGCAATAATCATTCAATTTTGCTGTAATAATATTATTTATCTAGTTCGAATAAAATCCAGAATTGTATACGGAATTTTCTCAGACTTCGATTTATACACTTTACTGCCTTTTACCTGAATACAGAAGTATAAGAAGAATCACTGTTTCCAACTATTTGACGATTAGCATATGATTATGCCTAAATTAACCCTCTTGCTCTTTTATTTTTTACTACTCAACATGTGGTTAATCTCAAGTTTCACCATGTTTTCAGATAGATATACAGCTTGAACGGTAGTAGTCCATTTTGGCAGTAACAATACGATGATAGTGTATGCAATATGCATAAACCTTGATAACTTATAGGGGTAAATTTCCTTACTAGTGATATACATATGGGCAGTTTATTGTCTGCTCATTTAACATTGTGTGGCGTGGGAGGGGGTGTGAAGGACATTTTAGGGGTTGCAGGGCACTGATTTAAGTGGCGTAGTGGTCGAAGGAGCCAAGGTATTCCAACGCGGCTCTGTAGCAGAACTGGTACTGATCCTGAAAGCAAACATCAATCATCAATATTAACGTCGTACTTGCGTTATAGGCTACATCTTATAAGAATGCCTGAAATTTATATATTTTCAAGAACTTGTATTGACACGTTTTTGCAGTTTAAATAATAGATAGATATGGTTTATTGTAGGAAGAATATAATCATTCTTAATTACAAAGCTAACTAAAAACTAAACAAAATTACATATCTGGATCTCAAGTAAATGAATTGTAGAACTCACACATGGTATAATATGGCTGACAAGTAAAAAAGTTTTTGAGTTCACGGCGATATACGTACATTTTCAGATCATTATAAATGATTGGGTCTTTCACAAGTGTTGATTAAGGTACTACTAGTAAAAAAAATAAAGGCCTGCATATAGCTCTAGAATTTGTAGAATAAGCACTTTTTAAAACCATTTTGGGAACAGACACATCAAAACAGCAAAAAGGAATGCTATCTCTCAATCTGCTTTCAAAATACGGCAAAGTAACTGCTTTAGGCGGTGCTTTTCTCTACGTTGTAACTAATTACTCTTATAATGACGAAAATCTTTGCTACATGTTAAATAAATTTATAAACTCAAGGGAGCATTTAAATGTCATAAACTTGGTCTTAGTAACATTGAAAGTCAAGTAATTGTTATCACATCATTTTTTGATTGATTGTATATCACTATCAATTTTTTACCTAATTTCATCTACAGGGTGGCCGATATGTAACTGTAGCTTGTATCTTGAATATTTGTGAAATGAAATGAAATACGTCCATTTTTTTCATTTTAATCCTTCATTGAAACTTAGAAATTATGTACGAAAAATAATATCAGACAAATGTTCGCCTCTAGGAGCCGTGCAAACCTGAGCACTCTTGATTACATTTTCCATCACTTTCTGGTAGGTTTCTGGAGGAATATTTTCAATCGCTTCTGTAATATTGTTCTTCAGCTGCTCTACAGTATTTTTTTATTGGCATAAACTCTATTATTCAAAATCCCCCAAAAAAGTGAGAAGCCGTTAAATCCGGTGACCTTGTTGACATCACCAAATCGAGAAATTAAACGTTCCGGAAATATTGTTCGCAAAAGATTCATTGTTTCCCTAGCTGTGTGACACGTTGCTTCGTCCTGCTGGAACCGCATGTTTTGGAGGTTGGATTTGAGGAGCCAGAGAAGTTTTGCACCATATCACGGTAGCGCTCGCCAGTGACAGTAAGAGAATTACCTGCAACGTCTTCAAAGAAGTAAGATATCCAATGACAACTCCATACCAAACACCGCACCAAACTGTGACTCGACGAGGATCTAGTGGTCGTTGATGGATGAACGAGGGTTCTCTAATGCCCACATGCTTATTAACAAATCCGTTCATATAGAAGTGGGCTTCATCGCTCATTATCAGTTGTCGGTAAAAATCGTTATACGAGTATTAGGTATTAAGCTGCAATATTGCATGGCTGTATTGTCGGGACTTTCATGGTCACTAGGCTGTAGTTCTTGGGTTAACTAAATTTTGTACGGTCGCAAATGCTATTTTTTAAATAGTGTATAATGACGTGAGACGAATACAAAGTTCTTGAGCACGATGTCTGGTAGACGTCTCAGGATGCACCACTACACTTTCAAGAACTCGCTTAATATTTTCCGGGGTACGAACAGTTTGCAAGTCTTTAACTTCAAATCAAATCAAATCAACTTTTATATTATCCTACGAGACGTTACAATGTATGTAGAGGATTCGTCAGAATACAAACTGATAAAACAATACACAAATAAATCATAAAATAACAAACTCAGAGACAGCAAAATAACATTTACCTACACGGAATTCTGTCAGTTTAGCCTTAAAATTATGTATATCTCCACACAGTTTAATATGGTTTGGTATTGAAAATTCGTAGACCCAGTATTGCCGGAGATCTGACGCCGTTCTTATACTTGGTAAAACACGCATTTAAGTCTCCAGCTTGCCTGGTCGAATACGAGTTAAAATTATTTAAAAACCTATTTTTGTGAATAAAAGTATATACAGCCATTTAGTATAAAAATAAAAATGGTAAAGTTAAAATCATAAAGCACTTAAAAATATCTTTACAAGAATGCCTACTACTGACTCCTATCATGCATCTAACCACTCTTTTCTGAGCCAAAAATACTTGCTGAGCATTTGTGGACAAACTCCCCAGAAGCATAGTGCATACCCCAGTCGTGTGTCAACTTGAGTGTAGTAAATAGAAACTATCCGTGCTTCGCAATATATACACAGTGATTCTTCAAACCTGTATCTAGATACAAGCCCAAAAATTTGACTTGCGTGCCAAGGGACATTCTTGAGCCATTAAAAGTGATATTTAATGCCTTAGGCTTCTTCTGAATGTTGTGAAATTGCACAACCGATGTTTTTTCAGAATTTAAATAGAGATGATTGCTACTAAACCACTGATGAATATTTTGCAGTACAACTCCACACTCTCTTTCTAAGGTAGCCTCACACTTACTCGATATCACCGTTGAAGTATCATCCGCATATAAAATGAATCTACCTTCACAGAAACAGAGCAAGGTCATTGAATATAGACTGAATAGCACAGGTCGTAGAATAGCGCCCTGAGGGACGCCTATGGGGTTGTGTGCCATGTCGAACTTAATAGGCGCATTCAGACCACTATCGATGATACTAGCAAATTGAGACCCATTCTCTAAAAAAGACCTTATCCAATGATCTGGTGGACCATTTACTTTGACATTTTCTGCAACTGCACTTCATGATTGACGCCGAGATGACAAAAGTTTCCAATCATTTTAACAAAATTTTCCATTTCGAAAACCGTGTTGATTCTCTGTCAAAATATCATTATTTACTAAAAACAAAAACAATCTGTCCAGATAACAGTACTCGAATACTCTTGAAAAAGTTGATGGTATCGTTACTGGTCTGTAATGCCTCAGCTCAGAGGGATCCCCTTTCTTGTATAATGGAATCACATTTCCGGTTTTAAGCAGACAAGGAAATTTCCCTGTGCAGAATGATATATTGATCATGAAGACCAGTGGCATTAATTAAGTCAAATAATTCATCATCAGTAAATGGATACAGCAACATCAAATGCCGTGTATCTTCCCTACTCGAAGTAAAGGTATGATCATGGATGGGATCTGTTGGAATATTTTTGACGATGTTTAAAGGTGGATGTACGATGGCGTCAAGTGAAAGACGTGCTAATAGTTCTGTTACAAAATGTTGCAAGCGTTGTGGTGTTATCGCGAAAAGTGGTCCGCAATGTGCTAATTGTAAAACTGTGATACATGCGGGATGCGTCAAGTACATGAAAAACCTGCAAAAGATTGATGATAAATCG